TAAGGAGCCCGGGTCAATGGACGCACCAAATACAACAGGAGGAGAAGGGGAGGCAGGAGTGGTGTGGCTTCTTCCCTGTGAGTGCAAAGGGTCCCAAAGACTCTGGGGAAAGAAAGGATTTTAGCCTCCCACGGAGCAAGAGGCCACTCCGTCTGTCCCCAGGCAGCTCACTGCCGACCGGCCAGATGGTGCAGGGAGACCTGGGAGGCACGCCAGCATGGCAAGGCGGGCACGGACAGATGTCCCGCAGTGAAAACTGATCCTCATCAAAGAGACCTTTCTAAGTAGGAAATGTAAATCAACATTTTTATCATTAATTATTAAAATTTTTGACATACTAATTTTAAAGGCAAATATTTCTTCAGAGATTTTACTAATGTTTCATCACAAGTTCTACAAAGGAAGCAACAAAACCAGTTTGTTTTTCTCACTTTTACAGTAGGCCTACAACCTTGATGCAGGAAACAGTAAATGCAGCAAATATCCACCAAATTTTAAGTCTGTCCGATCGAACTCACAAAAATCCTAATTACAACAGATAGCCCCAATATCACGATAGGCTGCATATTCTAAAAGTTCATCAAGCTGGTTGTTATGAAAGCTTGAACAATGTTTTTCCCCCAGGAAAGTGTGAAAAATGATGGTTATATTTCATAGTCTAGCACACAACGATCTATATAAGCAAAACAGTAGCTGTATTACATTTAAATCTTAAAGAAATAGCAATGTTTTTCTTAAAATTCAGGTTGCATGAAGTTGAATTCCTATTAATCTTATTAATTATTTTGTATCAAGAAGTGATTATCTTTCTTAAAATTCTAATTCACTTAAAGTTCCTAAAGGACAGGCACTACAGATTTGTTAGCAAGATCAAATCAGAAGTAAACAAAATTGACAACAGGGAAACTATACGGAAGATTAATAAAACAAAAAGTTGGTTCTTTGAAAAAATAAACAAAATTGACACACCATTGGCCACACTAACGAAAAGCAGAAAAGAAAAATTTCTAATAAGTGCCATCAGGAACAATAAAGGAGAAATTACAACTGATTTCCCAGAGATAAGATATAATTTATGAATACTACAAAAATCTCTATGCATACAAACTGGAAAATGTGGAGGAAATGGACAATTTCTTAGAAACACACAGCCTCCTTGGCTCAACCAGGAAGAAATAGAATTCCTGAACAGACCAATATCAAGTACTGAAATTGAAACATCAATAAAAAACCTTCCTAAAAAGAAAAGTCCTGGACCAGATGGTTTCACACTCGAATTTTACCACACCTACAAGGAATAACTGATGCCTATCCTGCAGAAATTATTCCACAAAATTGAGAAGGATGGAATATTCCCCAACACATTTTATGAAGCGAACATAACACTGATACCAAAACCAGGAAAGGATGCAACAAAAAAAGAAAACTACAGACCAATATCCCTTATGAATAGAGATGCAAAAATTCTCAACAAAATCCTAGACAGTCAAATCCAG